TCAAATCGGTTACAGAATTTAAGTTTCTGGGATAATTGGAGATAATGACAACAGTTGGAAAATAACAATAAGCCTTCTTTATTTAATTTCCCAGATTGAGAGATTATTTCAAGACTGGCAATGATTGTGGAAATCGATGTTGCTTTGTGAGTGTAAGGTTTGTGAAATATTGTTCTGTCTATGTCGAGAGAATCGTCGTCTGTGCAAATGAGGTTGCAGGGTGGGAAATTCTTTAAACTGAAATAAAGTTATTTGTGGTTATTAGGTATAGAATATGGGCAAATGTAAGACACCTGTCTATGATAGGAATTTTTAGCCAAGTGTTGGCGGCAATATGAAGTCTCAGACCCGAGGCTTTGAGATGACGCATGTTGAATTCTGTGGAATGACACCAACTTTAGTTAAATTGCAACTTTAAAATTAAAATTTTATACGGTATTGGTGTGCTAAATAGACGCCAGTATAACGTCTGCATGAACTATGCTTCGAATCTACGTGAATCTTCTTGCCTGAAATGAGAAAATTGATTTTGCATCCAATTATTTAAAATCATGTTACCTTTTTATGCCTTAATTTTTATTCAATAATATGTCACACCACCACACGATTCGACGAACTTATGAGCCTGAATTCAAACTAATTTCTTGACGATGTTGGGCTCCTGTCTCCTATGTCAACCCCATGCGGATCCATGTTGTCTTGATTAGAGCCAACTAGATTACGCTAAGGATTCATGAAGTTTTATCTTCAGAGTATCCTTTTTATCTTCACACTGAGCATAATCTTTGGAAATATCTAACTAATTCATAATTTACCAACAGTGAGTTCTTTTCATAACATAGCGTTTATACAGTTACGTCCATCGTAACACTGCAAGAGTCATCTCCAGTAGTTATCATGTTGTGAGGATGGAACCAGGGAGTATAGCCTTTTGGTCATGCCCATCTCTTTGGTATTAAGTATCTTACAAGAAAAACGGAGATCATGCGACAGACCCCACCCGCTGATGTAATCGATTCAGTAGTAGGACAAACTGAAGTGCTTGAGGTTTTTAATACCCTGACGGATCAGTCAACTTGGCGATCAAACAGTATCATTGGATAGTCCTGTGTATACCACCATTTCGTCAGAGTAACTAAGGCCCTTTCACGTTTAATGGCTGGGATAAGCCAAAACATAGCACATGAATTTCTGAAAATGTAACAACATGCACACACACACCCCTTAGAGGTAATTAAGGTTGAGATCGAGTGAAAAATGCAGTCAAATCGTCGCTAGGGCACTTGAAAGGCGCCACTGTCAAAGGGGAGAGCGGGCGGCGCTTTGGAGTGCTCCGGCAAAAACGCGCGCGCGCGCATGGTGGAGGGGAGGTGGAGGCGCAGAGACGGGCTAATCAAACTTACAGCAATGCGCCGCCGCCACCACCAGTTCCTCCCCCTACCCCCTCTTCCCCTACTTGCTTAGGGTTGAAAGATTAATTTCCCGTGGTCATCACCATCAAATCCATTTAACTATTCTTTATACCACTGGTAGAATTGCGCAAACGCGTGAAGGGAACTGAGTGTCAGCCAACAAGGCTAGAATTCTGAAACTTTTCTCAATTATTCTAACACAAATGGAATATAGTGAGTGACCTAGATGCATCCAAACCTTCATTAGTATTTAAAGTTACAGTGAAGTTGAGCAATGCTCTATTAAGCAATCTTACAACAAACGCTCTCAATGTAAACCCCTACATGTAATCTTTTGATTACAAAATCCTCGTTCATTTAATTTGATATTTATAGTACTAAAAATAAGGTTCTCTTATAGGTGAATCATCCAGTATAATGGGTGAATGTGTAAAAGTATGGGTTCTGAATTTTGGGGAAAACGGTACTAAAAGTCAAAAAGTACTGTAACAGGGCAAAGTGTCTCTAATTTGCACATATTTTTGGGATGACTGTAAAGTAAATGTCAGACAACAAACTTTTCAAGTGGTAAGTTTATATGTCGACGTGGTTTGAACATAAAAAGTCACATTCGTTGCCAAGCGCGAGTGCTAGCGTAGTAGCTGGATTCACACACGCACACATATTTAATTACTTCCAAGCCACCACGTGCATTTAGCACTGACTTATGGCATTTAAAAGCGGCCAAGTTGTCGTCCCAGCTGGTACTACTCGAGCCGGGCTTTGTGTGGCTTCGCTTTCTCGACGCAGAAACCCCTTCGAAGGCTTTTGAAAGTGTCGCTGTTTGATGCAGAATGTTGTCTGTCAAAGTAATGATCATTAATGCTGTGATTAAGCAGTTAAGTGAAGCTCAGATCACAGGCCTAGGCTCGAAGTCACGAAAGCCAGGTCTGCAATCAGAAGTCGTGCTGATTCTCAAAAAAAAACCTGCAAAAAGTTAACGAGATACTGGACTGACAAAAGCGAAACAGCCTTAAAAGCATATTTTTTGAAACAATGTTGGGAAAGTGTAACCTTGCCTTCCGAATAAACTAATGGGAAACAGTCGAAATTTTCGCATTAAGTTGTTCTCTCACTTTCTCATCATCCCGATCAAATTCCAGTTAAATTTACACGTTATAAAATACTGTCGGTAAAATCTTATTTGCTTGCAGCCTAATGTAAATAGACAAACTCCAGTTGAGGTAATATTTATGCAAAAAGTGGGTTGCTTGAGCATTTTCGGGAGTTAGATTGAGATGACTACCGCATGTCAGTGAATTTCTCCTACCATCATCCACTAACCGGTAGTGCTGTGACACCCACATCACCTATGGGGGAACTAGCGTCGCAGGACTCAAGTCAAATGTTTTATGTGTTCCCAAGTTAAGCATGGAAAATAAACAACAATAGCTCTGCGCCCAAGCAACCACCCATTACCGATACATATAAACACCAAAATTAAGTTCTATATTATTTTACTGTAACGATATCTCTTTCATATCAAATTTAGGGAAAGAATTGAACATGCCTGGTTTGTGCGTGTAGTGTTGAATGAGAAAAGGTGTAACATTGATTTTCTCCTCCTTTTCATGTAACTGTTTTAGCAAAAAATCAATCCGAATGTCTGTTGGGTTTTTGGATAAAATGCTCATCAATGAAGGTTTTTATTCCGAACCAAATTAGGTGACCCATAAGACTCCTTGATTGGTTTATCTCTTGTCTAGTATCAAATTTTTTGTTGAGGCCATCTGAAGAGTGTCGGATTTGGTAAGGCAAACAAGAGGATCTAGCTTACTTACCACCAGATTTATCTCCCAAGGAAGACAGAAATGTTTGTTGATCGGACTCTAAATCGCCAGTTTTCAATCCGCTTTGATGGGTTAACGTAGCATCTTAAATGAATTTTTTCCTTATCACTTGAGTTAAAATAGAATTAACACGCTTACGAAAGTGTCCTGGTGCCAATATATCTCTGACACGTGTAGAATCTCCAGGATTCATTGCATGACAAGCCGAATGATAAGTTAATTAATTGACATCTAGGACATCTGCCATTTGCTAATCGCTTTCGCATTTTTTTCAAAAAATGCCTGTTGATTAAAGAAATTGTACACTGTCTGAGAGCAACTAAGGTGTTATTATGAGTAAAAGGGCTTTGGAAGGACTTTACAGATGGTTACATCAACACAGAGACCAATGAATGGTAAACATCAGACTGATGACTGAAGTTCCTGCTCGGTAGCCCGGTCAACCGATGGTCAAAATGTTGCATTTAAGCAGACGCTTCGCATTTTATCAGGAATGTTACAAGTGGCATATGCTGCCTTTAAAAGAGACTGCTATACCTGTAAATACTTTTGGCTCCTATTGTTGTCAAGAATGAGCATGACAGGGAGTGTTTTGAAGGAAGAATGTATTTGAAAAAGGCCTTTGACGGAATATAAACACATATATTTCCACGCAATAACAATCCTATTTAAAGGCACAAAATTCGCCACTTGCGTCGAAGGCGCAAATACTCTTTTCAAAAGTAAGTATATTTTTGAATTTT